ATACTATGGATTCGCTTGCTGCTATATTTCAGGATTATAAACAGGCTGTCACAAAGGGACCTTGGTGTAATAAATCTTAAAAATTTTACTAATAAATTAAATTACACTTAAGGGTTTTAATTTCTCTGACAAGACAACTGAAAGACCTTGCCATGCTTCATGTGAAAAAAAGATTAGCATGGACATTTCATTTAATCATTCATCTATTGAGATGACATTAGTTATGTGAACTCAGCACATGGAATTTTCTGGGATGATTTGGTGGAATAGGACTTTGAGGATCAGAAATCAGAAAAGCCATGCCCCTTTTCAGGCACGATCATGTTTCAGAAACATAAAAATGTTGCAGCAGCAGAACCAAGGTTATGAGGTTAGAGTTAAGAGAGAAATTACAAGTTACCTCAATTTAAGCCAAACGGGATAAGGTGAAGTGTCGACATTAGTAAAAGTAAAAGATTCAAAATAACAGCACTGTATTATAGTTTAGGGATGTAGACAGGGTAAACTGAAATTGGAAAGTCAACACAACATATTGGAATGCAAAACATTCATTAAACTCATCCAACCTACTTCCTCTTTGGATAATCATCTCTTATCCCCCTCTTGTCTGCTTAAGATCTTGAATTTTGATTCATAACATTCATTTGAATTAAACTTATTTTCTTAGATCTAAAAATATTTTGGACATTTCCTCAACAAGCATTGATTCAAAAGTAAAGTTTTAACCCAAAGTTCATTCTGGTAGTTGGTTTTAATATTGACTGAAAACTTAAAATATGTCTGAGCAAGTGACCCTCTGAAAAAGGATGAAGGAGCCAACAGAGTTTTTTTACTTTTCACCACAATCATAAATCCAAGACAAAAGCAAAGTGGCAAGCTCCCATGCCAACATGATATTTTGGTAGTTGAGAACATTGGTCAGAATACCAGAATTACCTCTCCCTTATTCAAGTTGTTCATGGCATACTTCACATTCACCAGAACAGGTCCAATTGATCAAAAGAAACCACTGGCACTAATAATAAGTGAGTCAACCTAGACCAAATTCTGCCATCTTGATTGTACCATTATCTTTCCTTCTATTACTCAGCTTACATTTTTAAAAATGAAAAATGCTGTTGAAAATTAGCTGTCCTTATGTATTTTACTTTGAGATGTCTTGTTAGTTAATTGAAGATTACATTTGTTTAGTTTGCACTTATTCAATCTCGGCACATACTATCAGTTGACAGAAACCAACGGAAAACTGCAAACCATTGAGTAAGAAAAACTAGTGTGAAGAAATGTGCACAGCACTTCTTTCAACCGTGTGAATATAAAACAGAAGATATAGGGGGTTCTGATATAATGCGTGTTTCTTCAACGCAAATTGGCTTTAACTTGGTTGAAGAATTTAGACTGCTATTTGTTGAACACGAACTCTCCTCACCTGTATTGGCTATAACACAATTCCGGCCCCATTAGTTTAAATGGTGCAGCTATTGCGCGATTTTCCTGTAACGCGAGATCGCACGACAACGGAACTATAACATTATATCAGAACTGACTTAAATTCCTTGAAAATATAAAATCGTCGAAGTGCTCAAAAATATAGAAACCAAAGCAAACTTTTTCTTCCCTGAAATCCTCAATTTTCCAATGAGGATGAAATATAGAATACAGCCTTACAAAACAACAAAATCTTTTTCCAAAAAGTAATTTCACAAAATCTAAACTTCATCTTCAACATAATATTTTTGCATCACTTCAGATTTAATTGTTAGGTAATGTGAAGAATACGCAGAGCTTCATTTCCAGATTTGTACTTAGAAGCCTACTTTTATCACAGAAGTTTATATTTCATGAACTAACCAAATTAAGTGATATTGTATAAAATAACTTTTCAGGCACATCATAGAGATGTACAAGTTTTACTTTAAATTGCATTGATGGACTAGACGATTCCCTTTACCTCACTTTTCACTAAACCTATATGTCATTAATTTTCACAATTGTAGGCTTACCTAAGCACAAAAATATAGTTATTGCAATTTCCTTCCTCAAAAGAACAGAATATACTTGATACAAAATAAAGGGGAAAGAGTTTCAGTATCTACATCCAAATTTAATGCTTGCATTACGTTTATGTAACAGCTTTACTACTTGTAATCTGATGGTGCAATACAATTTGTTAGCATGAAGGACCACAAGGTGGGTTCCCCTACTAGCTATATAACAGAAACCACACAGCAATCTACTTTTTCTGTGGACAAAACAAGCACCTATCACACTGCAGACCTGTCCGGATCTTACTGTACTGCATAAAGTTCACAGGCAGCAAATTAAAAGATGTGGTTCCGAAATCTAAAAGGTCATTTGGTCTCATCTCAGAATTTGCTTCTTAGTGTAAAGTCTGCACAGAGTAGAAAGAACTGATGCACACAGAATTATTTCTGTACAACAGACTCCATGTCAGGCCAGGCCCAAAATGGTCTGCTGTTATACAAATGTTACCAGCATCAGTTCCTACAGCATTCTATCACTATGAGTGAGACACAAACACATCTACACAAGACTGGAGATAACAAGGTGTAGAGCTGGATGAGCACAGCAGGCCAAGCATTGTCAGAGGAGCAGGAAGGCTCACGTTTCGGGCCTAGACTTTCTAGATCCTTTTTAGACACAAAAGCGCATTTCAAGACATAGAGTAAATTCAGAAATACTCAAACGTTATTTTTAAAAGGAAATGCAAACTGAATATTCATGCAGCAATGACACTTGTATTCGGTACCACAGCTTTCAAAATGGGCTTGCATTGTTGATCCACCAGGGTCAGCCAGTACATCTTATTGATTTTAAGTCATCACTACGTCTAAGATTTTTCTAACTAACCCAGAAACCATGCAAGTAGTTTCTATTCTCTCAATGGGATGCACGTTTACTTCAAATGCGAAATTTTCTAAGATATTTTGGACTGTTGCTTTAATTTAAGGCAAATGGATTAAAGAAGAGGGTCCTGTGATGTGCTATGATTTTTGTCTCACAAGTCCGTGAAGCTGGCTAAAGAGACACATCCTTTGGCACTCTAGAGAATCTTGAAGATTTACCCTTGCCAGGGTGGGAGGCAAAAATCATTAAAACGGGGCCGTACTGTCAGTAATCAGTCCAGGCATACTCCAAAAACTGAGGGAAAGTGCCTTTCAACGGTCAATCCATATGACGACACAATGTGAAGAAGTCACACCCGAGTGACTTTAGATGTTTTCCCAAGAACACTGTCATCCTGTGGGGTTAGAAGTCATGCTAAGACATTAACAAGGGTCACAATTTCTGTAGTTAGTATTAGTTGCCCACAAAGCAATACTTCAGCAATACTGGTTTTAGTGTATTTGTTACACGCAAAAAAATCTAAGTTTGAAATTTTGTTGGAGAATCCAACTTTTTTTTTTAAAAAGGAGTTATTGCTTCTATTCAGGAATTGTAACATTGCTCTCAGATGCAAAAATGCTTAGACCCCAGGATGGCAAGAACCAAAGCTTACACTCTGTCTCTTTTCCCTTCTTCATGATTCCAACTCAATGCACGTAAAATACATTTACTTTGCAAACAAAACTGTCCAGTTTATTAAGCACATCCTTGGGAAATATCTATTAACTAGCCTACTCTTCTCACCCATTATACGTGAAACTGTCTGCGATTGAGTGCAAAAGAGTACAGCCTCAATGACAACGATAGATATGATTCTATGATAATATTCTGAAACTCTAACAGTGAAGAAAGAGGTTATTCAGTCCACTAACTCTACACCAACCCTCCTAAAAGCATTCCACCCAGACTCTCTCCTTCCCACCAACCCCATACCTATAACCCTGCATTTCCCATGGCTAATCCGCCTAACCTACACAACTCTGGACACTAAGGGCAATTTACCACAGCCAATCCACTGAACCTGCACATCTTTGGACTGTGGGAGAAAACTGGAACACCCAGAAGAAACCCACACAGACACAGGGAGAATGTCCAAACTTCACACAGATAGTCGCTCAAGGATGGAATCGAACCTGGGTCCCTGCCGCCATGAGGCAGCTGTGCTAACCAGTGAGCCACCATCTCTTTTCAGGGAGGAAGATTAACTCAGACCTCTCTATGTGGAGTAGCACAGGTACAGTTTAAGAGATAATTTCTAATCCAACTTCCACTTCTTTACTAGAAAAAAGGGTTGTGATATGGGACAAAGAAAATGCATTTCTTGTTTGCCATATTACAAAGTGATGGAAAAAAATGAAGTCAAAATAGATTTACAGAAATTAGTTATCAACTTTTCCCCACCCCCACTGTTTTATTTTTCTATTTCCCTCAATATAATAATTTAAATAGGAGTAAAACTCCAATATAATGGCACACGCTACAGAGTCTTACATTACTTCATCAAGGAGGCATCATTCTGGACAAAGTCAGTATTTACACTATTCAGCAGGGGTCAGTGTATCAGGAGTTCGTGATTGCTCTTCTCTAATTTCAAGCCAAGGCCAGTGCAGTGTTTCACTGCCATATAAATCAAGATCAGCTAAAGCAGCACAGATGAGTAGTCATCCTTAAACCTGCTTCATTTATAGTTCAATACTACCCCAGTTATTTCCACAATAAAACATTTTAACAAACTTGAATTGTGTTTCTGAATTAGCAAAAAGCATATCATAAATTACATTCATAGTGTACAAGACTAGGTCTAATTTACAGGTGTGTGAAAATACTGTAGTTCAAAAGTTTAAGTGCTTGATGATGGGGTTTTATTAGTTGTGCAATTATCAAATCACGATGTTATGTATTGTGGTTACACTTTTTCACAAAACAAAAAAAGTATAAATCTAGCATTATTTAGTTGATTTTGTATATGCTGTACAACTATATCAGGTTGTGGTATGAAATATACTTACTTACAAAAACAGAAATTTTAATCTTTAAGAGAAATAATTATTGCACAGGATTATCTGCATTAATTGTACTTCTCCACATCATACCTGTTAAACGTGTTCTCACTAGCAATGTACTTATCCAGTCGGCCCAACGGTGTTAGCATCTCGTCTTGAGAAACAAAATCCAAGGCTGAAGGTATAATAAGGACATCAGACTCTGAGCTGTAGTCATCCACACCAACTGGCAGAGACATCAGAAATGTTAATTGTAATTGCAACCTGTTTGTACTTTAAATCTGAACGACTCCTTATACATAGTGTTGATAACCAGAAATTCGATGTACTGTATTATTGTTACAAATGTCCAGCCAGTTGAGAGCAAATACAAGCAATAAAGGCACTATATGGTGTAAATAGCACTGCTATCACAATGCTGCTGTGACAAACAATATCATTGAGTTGGTTGAAGTCATAGTTGCTACACTCAAGACTTCATTAAGCCAATTGCTCAATTATTTGCAATAGACTTTCTCTCATACATTTGACTGCAAACTCAACTCACACAGCAAAGTGAAGTCACACTGCCATTGTGGTCATTTAACTTCAGACTGACTTTCAGAAGTTGGCTCTAAAGGCCTTCACTTAAACACTGGTGTCACTTTTATCAAGTTTCTTGACATACACTTTTTCTTTTACAGTTTGATAAGAATCTGAATTAGACAAATGAGTTAAAGACAATGCTCCTCCTCTGACAACACCATGGACTTCTTTACATCTGCCAGGGTCATCTAGAACATTATCAGCTGTAAAGATGCAACAAGTTTATCCAGTTACCTACTGAACCATTTAGAACGAAGTTATTACAGTCTGGGAAGAATTAATTCTCAGCTGTTCTTGCTTTGAAAGTTATATTGATCTACGTTAAAGGGGAGTAAAATCAGCAATGGCTGCCTTAGCTGGTTGCTATCCTACAGCATGAACTACAAGCAAAGACTCCCTCAGAGTTAAGCAGCTTTTCAACATTCATCATAAAAGTCTAGTGATTAAGGGCCACTTAAGACTTCAATAGACTCTCCATATCTGACCGAGTCAAGAAATGTGAAATTTCAATCTAGGTCATAATGCCAAGTGCAGTGGGCAGCCTTCCAGCTCATGCTCCCTCATATTAAAGGGCATGGTGTATTCAAACAAAACAAGAATTCCATCTGTTACAGAAAGTTGAGAGTTCCAATGAGACACAGAAAGGTACCAACAGTCCTCAAACATAAAGTGATTCAGAGAGGAAATTAATCATATCCCTGAAAGAGCTAGGTCTTTTAGCAAATTAAGAATTTCTAAACTGCCCTTACTTTTCAGCCCAGAAGGTGTCTCAGGGACATGGATGCTCCATGCAACTGAAACACCTTGCCTGCCCAGGCCACTCTGGCTAGGCCAACTCCTCTACCCTCACAAATCAAGACTAAAGATTCATTTTGCCACCAGAATAGGTCTGCCAAAAATAGTGCCCTAAGGGCTTTGGGAAACATGGTGAAGAAAGACACTGGAGTGCACAGGTGATTATATAAAATCACAGTCAGGTATATCAAGTAGTTTGGTATGACTCAACATTTCTTGGCAGCTATCAACATTCACAACATACAGATTTTAAAGCACAACAATTTGGTATAAAGATCTCACGTTGGCAAAAATCAGTTTCTAAGCAAATTGAAACAAAAATAAAAAAAAAAACTCACAAATGTCCCTGGTACCAAGCACATATCTGTAGAATATCTGGCTACTCTTCAGGACGTGTAGTTCTAATTATTCCATACCTAGAATCACATGCATTATTGAGGCAGGGGATTGCTCTGTTAACAGTTTATTGAAGATCCATATAATATATATAGAAATACGTATTCACATACACATGTGCATCTGTGACAACTCCACGGAGCAGTGAGTAATTGGGACCAGCCTCAATAATGACCCAGGGGACAACAGCCAGTATTAGTTAGATACACAAATATTCAGTTGGTAGTCCCTGTCTTAGTTCAGACACTTTTGAAATGGCTATAACTTCATAGATAGAGCATCACAGGAGGCAACCTAGAAGAAAACCTCCAATCTTACCACTCGGCCATAAGACCCTAAGACATAGGAGCACAAATTAGGCCATTCAGCCCATCAAGTATGCCCCGCCATTCAATCATGGCTGATAAGTTTCTCAGCTCCATTCTCCCGCTTTCTACCTGTAACCCTTGAACCCCTTGACAATCAAGAACCTATCTATCTATCTCCATCTTAAATATACTAAATGACCTGGCCACCACAGCCCTCTGTGGCAGTGAATTCCATAGATTCACCATTCTCGGGCTCAAGAAGTTTCTCCTCATCTCTGTTCTAAAAGGTCTTCCTTTTACTCTAAGGCTGTGCCCTTGGGTCCTAGTCTCTTCTACCAATGGAAACATCTTCCCAACATCCACTCTGTCCAGGCCATTCAGTATTCTTCACGTTTCAATTAGATGTCCCTTCCCTTCCTCCCCCGTCCTTCTAAACTCCATCAAGTATAGACCCAGAGTCCTCAAACATTCTTAAGCTTATCATTCCTGGGACCATTCTCATGAACCTCCTCTGAACCCAATCCAGGGCCAGTACATCTTTCCAGAGATAAGGGCCCAAAACTGCACAATACTACAAATGTGGCCTGACCAGAGCCTTATAGAGCCTCAGAAGTACGTCCCTGCTTTTATATTCAAGTGTGCTCAAAATAAATGCCAGCATTGCATTTGCCTTCCAAACTACTGACTCAACCTGCAAGTTTACCTTGAGAGAATCCTGGACTAGAACGCCCAAGCCTCTCTGCACTTCAGACTTCTGAATTTTCTCCCCATTTAGAAAATAGTCCACGCCTCTATTCTTCTTACCAAAGTGCATGACCTCACACTTTCCCAAGTTGCACTCCATCAGCCACTTCTTTGCCTTCTCTCCTAACCTGTCCAAATTCTTTTGCAGCTTCTCCGCCTCTTCAATACTACCTGTTCTGCTACCTCTCTTTGTATCATCTGCAAACTTAACCAGAATGCCCTCAGTTCCTTTATCTAAATCGTTAATACATTTAGTGAAAAGTTGTGGTCCCAACACTGACCCTTGTGGAACACTTGTCATCGGCTGGCATCCTGAGAAAGACCTTTTTAACCCCATTCTCTGGCTGTCTGGCAGAAAGTAATCCTCTATCTATGCCAGCACCTTGCCTCTAACACCATGGGCCCTGATCTTACTCAGCCGCCCCCTGTGCGGCACCTTGTCAAAGGCCTTCTTGAAGTCCAGATAGATAACATCCAGTAGAGTATCTGGGTCATTTTGGGAAGAAAATTTAAAAGGATATCACTTATGCAAAAACCTTACAAGCAGTACTCTGAAGTAAGAACAAAACATTGATAAATGTACACCTACTTCAGTCTTCACAATTTGATGCTGTAGTAAAAGCTCCAACATTGAAATTGACACAGCATAAATTTACAACACCCAGAGGGGCGTGACTTAAGGGCTAACTTTTCAATCTGAAAACATGGAAAGGAACTTCACTATTCAGAAATTTGGGGAATCAATGACATTTTAATTCACCAGAAGCCATTAGGTTATACCAACATGATGAACTTTGTATAAAAACATTTGATTATGGATTCTTACAATTTTTAAACTAGTCACATGTAGTTGATCAATTTGTTCTTTGTTCTGTCATGAATCTCCTAAAATTACCAATATAAAAATGCAAAGTTGAAATGTTATCAAAACATGCACTAACTTAGTGCATTTAACTGTTTGAAATCAACTGCAAGGGTACCTGCAGAATGCTTCACAACAGCATTATCTGATACATTAAAACACCAAGCAAAGGCACCAAAGATTTCCAATTTTCTCATTTATTTACTTCAATATTCTTGGTTCAATTATTTTCTCCATTTACGGAAAATATCACTGGCAAGGACTCGTCTAATTTCATTTGAGAAACTGAAAATGTGCCACCTTCTTGACCACTTAGTGGATCACACAGCCATTTCAGTGAGTACTGAAGAGTCAAACTCATGCAGACCAAGCAAGGATGACTAATATCCTTTTGGGAGAAAGATATCTATGAACCAAATTGTTTTTTCACAATCATCTAGTAGCTACATGGTTACCATTACAATACTAGCTTCCTATTCCAGGCCCACCAAATTGACATGGACAGAAACGTGTTTTGACTCCAGATCATTAGTCTGGGCCTCTAAATTACGATGCTATTGTTCTTCATATATGTTTATTCTCACAATATTCTTGCATTCATAAATATATGCAAGTATCTTCTGGTCTTGGCTCTTCCAAACATTTCAGCTATGCAACCTTTTTTCCTACCACATCCTTATTGTTTACTATGCTCTCACAATGTGTTTACATAAGACCAGCCTACATTCCATTATTTCTCAAATGACTGGCCCAATAATTAAAACATGTCTTTAATCCAATGTTAAATACTTCTATCAGATCAGTATTTGAATTGTTAAACTGAGCAAATTTCATTCATGCTTTTCTTGGCAGATACTGCTGCTTTAGAAGACTCTACGGAATACATTGAGGTGTCACATTCTAGAGTCAAAGTTCAATTTAAGATCAAAAACCTTCCACGATGATCACAGAAAACTATTTAGTCAAAGCAAGCTCCGTCAATTTTCTTTGCAGCTTTAACTCAAGCAACTTATTTTCAAACCTCCCAATCCTGAGGCAGACATCATGTAAATTATGTTCTAAAATGCAAAATGCTTGCATACAGTTCAATTAGCGCCTATGATAAAATTCATAGAAGTTTGAAAAAGTATTAGCATGCTGTTTAAATGTGGCTGAGAGGGGGGTGGATATCAAAACTTAGCGTGATCCTGTACTAATTCACATACTTGTAAAAAAAAAAAATCTTGTGCAGTCAGAATTAGGAATGTTGAGTTACTATTGTTCTCCAAACCAGAGGCACTATTGCCAATTGCCCCAGCTGGCATAACCAAAACACAGCATATGTTGAAGACTGAACGAGACCTTCCTGAAATTCACAGTTCAGTCATAATGATAAAATCACAAAAGCCTAACCGTCAAGTAACTCATGACTTTTAACATGTTACTCAATATGATCTTCTTTTGTTTATTTTGGTTAGATCTACATACTATTGCACCTACCCTCCCAAGAGAACACTGGCATCACAACTAAAGTATAAAGCATGCAAAAAAAAACAC